TTCAGCGTGTGCAAGGTACCATGTTCTCTTCAGTACCAGGAGATATTGGATGGAAACGTGATGCAGTCCGTCACACACCTGAGGCTTGGGAGACGTTGGACCTTTCAACAGGACAATGATCCCAAGCATACCTCCAAGTCCACTAGAGCATGGTTGCAGAGGAAAGGCTGGAACATTTTGGAGTGGCCATCGCAGTCACCAGACTTAAATCCGATTGAGAACCTCTGGTGGGACTTAAAGAAAGCAGTTGCAGTGCGCAAGCCTAAGAATGTGACTGAACTGGAGGCCTTTGCCCATGAAGAATGGGCGAAGATACCCGTAGATCGCTGCAAGACACTTGTGTCAAGCTATGCTTCACGTTTAAAAGCTGTTATAACTGTAAAAGGATGCTGTACTAAGTACTAAGATTGAATGTCACTTGGGGGTTGAATAAAACTGATAATGCTGTGAGCACAGAAAAGACATTTGTGGTTATTTCATTATAACTGTTATGTTATATTTGTCTGACCTACAAGTGCCTCTTTAATGTAAATGTAAGCAAGATGACTGAATGATCAAAAGCAATGTCAAACTGGCCAAAACACTCAATTTCAGTGGGGGTTGAATAATTTTTGGCCACAACTGTAGCTGACAGTAGTTCTAAAGGAGATTGTACAGAAAGTGGGTGGAAGGTAGTATTGTATTGAGAGAGGGTCCAGAGTGGTGGAAATTACCTATCACACCCTTTTCTGTAATGCAACAGGAAAATGAATGCTGAGAGATGATCTACAGGAAGTGATGGAAACTGAAAATAATTTGAAAAATTAAATAAACCGACAAGATTTTAAACGTCCTGTGGATAACATAAGTGAGAGAAAAGCACATTGGGATGGCTGGGCCAGAAATGGCATTGAAAAAATGCTTCTATTTATTGTGAAAAGTGAAATTCTGCCCAAAAAAAAGGTGAACTTATCAACAGAATAGTTTGTTTTACAAGGTAAGGGCTTACATATACCTTAATTAACCACTTAATGACCAGGACATTTTCTGCTATTCGGTACTATTTCAACTGGTAATTGCACGGTCATGCAATGATGTACCAGAAACTAAATTTATGTCCTTTTTTTCACACAAATAGAGCTTTCTTTTGGTAGTATTTTTGATCTTGTGATATAAAAAAAAAGACTGAAAATGTTGAAAAAAAATGTATATTTTTTACTTTCAGTTATAAAAAATATGTAATAAACTTAAAGTTAGTAATACATTTAGGACAAAATGTATTCTGCTACATGTCTTTGGTAAAATAAAATTCCAGTATATGAATATTAATTGGTTTACGTGAAAGGTATAGCGTCTACAAACTATGGTATATATATTAGAATTTATGCAGCTTTTACTTTTCTTGGGGTGCTAAAATACCAGGGCAGTACAAAAAAAACCCAAAATGACCCTTTTTTTTAGAAAGTAGTTACCCCAAGGAATTTGCTGAAAGGCATGCTGAGTCCATGGAACATTTTATTTTTTGACACAAATATTTGAAAAATGACAAAAAAATTTTTTTACACAAAGTTGTCAGTTAAATGATATATTGTTCATGCATGCCATGAGTATATGTGGATACACCCCAAAACAAAATCTGCTACTTCTCCCAAGTATGGGAATATCTCATATGAGAGATTTTTGGCAGTCTAGCCACATACAGGAACCCAAAATCCAATGACCACCTTCAGGCTTTCAAAGGGCATATTTCCTCATATCACTCCCTCACTACCTATCACAGTTTCGGAGGCCAGGATAGTACAAACACCCCCCCCCAAAATGACCCCTTTTTGGAAAGCAGACACCCAAGGAACTTGAGAAGAGGCATGGTGAGTATTTTGCAGATCTCACTTTTGTCAGGCTTTTGAAAAAGAATAAAAGAAAATACATTTTCATTTTCTTTCTTCTTTTTCCAAAAACCTGTGGCAACAAATGACATCTGCAAAATACTCACCATTCCTCTTAGCAAATACCTTGGAGTGTCTACTTTCCAAAAAGGGGTAATTTGGAAGGGGGTGCTTCTACTATCCTGGCATTTCAGGGCCAACATTTATTCAACACATCACCCACTCTTCTAACCACTTGAAGACCAAGACTTTTCTGACACTTGTTTACTTGAAAAAACACGTTTTTTGCTAGAAAACTACTTTGAACCCTCAAACATTACAATATTTTTTAAAGCACAGGCTCTAGAGAATAAAATGGTGGGGGTTGAAACTTTGTATGTCACACAGTATTTGTGCTGTGATTTTCCAAGCGCAATTTTTTTTAACAAATACACTTTTTAGAATTTTAATGCACAAAAACACAAGATATTGCCCAATTGTTTGATAACATATAAAATATAGTGTTACGCTGAGTAAATGGATACCAAACATGACATACTTTAGAATTGCACATGCTCGTGCAATGGCGACAAACTACACAAATTTGTAATATCCTTAGGCAAAGTTTAAAAGCTTTTACAGGTCACCACTAAGATTTACATGGGAGGTCTAGTACTAGAATTACTGTCCTCGATCTGACGTTCGCGGTGATACCTCACATGCATGGTGCAATCTCTGTTTACATTCCGCCATGGGACCACCGCTTGCGTTTGCCTTTGCGTGCAAGCACAGGGATGAGGGGTGGGGGTGAATTCTTTTTTTAATTATTTATTTTGCTTTTTTTAAATTATTTTTACACTTTACCTTTAATTTTTTTTTTTTATGATCACTTTTATTGCTATCAGAGGAAACTCTGTGATAGCAATAGGCAGTGACGGGTATTCTTTTCTGAGAAATCTGGGGTCTATTAGACTCTAGATATCTCCTCTGCCCTTAAAGCATCTGATCACACCAAAAAATCAGTGTGATCAGATGCTTTCCCAATTTTAAAATGGCGCTGTTTATATTCAGAGAAACGGAAATGATGATGATTGGAGGTGTTTCAGTCTCTGATCGGCTCTATGGTCAGCCAGTGGAACTGCCGGCTGCATTTTTGGATTCCCCGGTGGGACGGGAGAACCCAAGAAAACCTTGGAAGGTGTCGGGAGGAGTGGGGGGAGTCCCATCCTGCTGCTTCTAAAAGCAATCCAGTGGCTAATCAGCAGCTAGGATTGTTTTTACATGAAAGCCTACCACCAGCTGAACAAAATGATACCAGCTGTAGCTGCAGGCATCATCCCGGTATAACCACTCAAAGTCCAGCAATGTACTAGTATGTTGCTTGTCCATGTTGGGCATATATGTAACAGCAGAGAACATGGACATATGATGAATCGGGTCTGTGGACCAATGTTATAATGCATTCTTTTTTGTAATATCCATGTTGAGGGTTACAAAAAAGTTTTAAAATGCAGAAACCGTGATAGGTTTCCATGCGAATTGTCTGTCAAGAGTTGAATTTGGGTGGGTGGCGATCAGGGGCGGACTGCCAACTCATGGGGCCCCCGGGAAATAGGGGATCACTGGGCCCCTGTGTCCTTGCCCTAACTCAAAAAAGCCTATGAAAAAGGTACCAGGGGCATCTCATGGAGCCTCCTACTGACCCCAGGCCCTCGGGCAGTGCCTGAGTTTCCAAATGGTCAGTCCGCCCCTGGTGGCGATGTATTGTTGTGCATAAAAATTGCTTTGGCCCACAATCAATTGGTACAAATCTTCCGTGAAAAACAGCGAAGGGGCTAAAACGCTAGTGCTGGCAGCAAACAGACCTGATCTTACTAACACTGTGTTTTTGGGAACACCATACAAAGGAAGTACTAGTATAGTTCTGTACGTGATCAATATCTTGATCCATACAAACACTATACTAATAATGATGGTGATCAGCGACCTATAGCGTGAGTGCAATAGTGTGCGGGCAATCTAACGGTAGCTAACCCTGGCTGGGTGGGGCGCTTACAGACCCTGATGTTATCTGATGTCACTAGTGGCAGGAATACAGTGATCAGTGAAAAATTCTATATACTGACACTGTACTAATGGCACTGGCAGGGTAACGGGGAGATCAAAGCGTTAATAGAGGCGATCAAAGAATTGAATATGCTAATCTAATGTGTGTGTGTAAAATGTAGTGCTTTTACTCAGTGCAGTGTTCGTTTTTCTCTCCCTGGAAGGCATAGGGGGCAGCTGGGGGCGCACGCGTGCGTGCTTTGCCCAGGGCCGCCGCTTGACTGTACATTGTTGGTGGGCGGGGCGGCAAGTAGTTACCAAAAAACAAAAAAAAATTTTTTCAATCATTTTTTTTTAAACTTTTTTTTACAATTTTTTTAAAAATACGTTCATCAAAGTAATGTAATGTTACCATAGTAACATTGTACCACTCTGGGGGGTGATCAGGGATTTTATTTTCCACTTTGCATTGCATGCAATGCAAAACTTGCTTTGAACTGTCGTCATTATTATTATTATTATTATTATACAGGATTTATATAGCGCCAACAGTTTGCGCAGCGCTTTACAAAATGAAGGTAGGCATTACAGTTACCATACAATTGGGTATAAGAGGAAACAGAGGGCCCTGCTCGTTAGAGCTTACAATCTAGGACATCATGAAGGTGCGAAGTTCATGACAGTTCAATATAATAGTGATCTGTGATTGGCTCCAGCTGGTCACATGGTACAGGGTGCTGTAATTGGCCCCATGTGTCATGTGAGAGCTGTGGACCAATCACAGCTCAACAGGAACAGAAGCAAAGCTTTTATGAGTCAGATTGTTGTTATTGTGATCATGTGATTGCATAGTGATCACATGATCACTGGGTCCCGATCACCTGGGTTCTCATTCTGCTGTTTCCAGTGGACAGAGCAGACATGGGGGGAGAGGGTTGTATTCCCGCTTGGCACGAAGCGCCTCCCTGTGTTGGCAAAGGACCAGCGACGTATGGGTACATTGCTGGTCGTGTAGCTGCCGCCCGTCCGCACTGCATTGTGGGTGGGGGCCTGAAAGTGGTTAACCGGTCAGTTTGGAATTGTTTCTGCTCTGAGTAGTAATTAACTCACCATTTCACCTGTGCACCTTCCTCTGATACTTCACACTCGAATTCCACTCTTTCTCCCACCATCACCACCTGATCTTCCAGTGGGCGCAAGATCTGTACAGGGGGCTCTCTGAAAGCAAAAAGGACATATTAGAATTCTCACAATTTACAAGCTGTGCTCAGTTTATTTGAGTATTCGTGAAGTTGCTTCATGTCCATTTTATTTAAAATCCAATTTCAGATGAAACAATTTTGTTTAGTAATGTTGCACCCTCCTAGTTCAGTTAAGGGGAGCTAGACCCCAATGGTTAGTCAGGAGCTGGTTAGAAGCTCAGGTGTGATAGCCAGAGGGGTCAAATTGTGGTCAGGGTTGAGAGACTCTGCAGGCCAGCCCCTCTGGAATTTCCCCCTGCTCTGAGGATTTCAGAGGAGGGCCTTGGAGGCAGAAGGGTGGATCTGAGGAGTGGCTGGTTGCACCTTTCAGCCAAACCCCAGCAGTAGGCTTGGCAAAGGGCTTGGACTCTCTTTAAAGTGTAGGAACCTGCTCATTAGCAGGAGAGTGGAGGAGTTGGGTGGAAGAAGGAGTAGGAAGATGTAAGGCTGGAGGAATAAGGCAAAAACAAGAGAATCACGCGTTTCCATTCATTTCTATGGAATTAAAAATGCTAACAAATTAAAAAATCGTCCCAAATTGAGCGACAAAAAAAGCTCCAGAACTTGTTTGAGCTTCAGGCATTTGGCTTCAGATGACTTGGAGTGGAGTTATGAACCATCTCCATTGAGAACAATCGATCCAAGTGTTTTTGAGCTTCAAGCTACAAATCGCTCAAGTGTGAATGCAGCTTCAAAGTGTGAAGAAGCTGCTCTAAGGAAAGCAGACAAACTGCATAGAGAGATTAGGGTCAGTTCGAAAACTGTACTTTCAAGGCTAACTCCATCTTTCTGACCATGTTTCATGTCACACTAATATTTAGGGTGTAACATGAAATATGGTCTGCAGCCTCCCCACCCTCAAACAGCTCTCTTCTCTTACAGGAGCTGGGGCTTTTTCTCCCCTGTCATATTTCCACTTGTGAATGAAAGACTATTGGGTTGCTTTACTAAAACTGGAGAGTGCAAAATTAAGTGCAGCTCACCAGATTTTGCACTCTCCAGTTTTAGTAAATCAATCCCTATGAGCCCTGTCTACCACAGCGGCAGAGGAACTCGCAGCAGAGGGAGTTGTAAATGGAACACTAATGCAGTGACGTCACCACACTCTTAGTTCATTGACACATCCTGCAGCCCTGCAACCAGTAACTAAAGAAATAGTCTACAGGTGCCTATGCATTGCACCCGTGATTACAGGTGCAATGCTTTCTTGGCTCCTATATGCAAAACATAATAATATTTTTTTTAAATAAATATGAGTTTTTATTTTATTATTTTTTTCAAAGGTAGACTTAACCCTTATTTCTAATTACTAGATCTTTGAGCAATCCCTCCCTTTGCTGCCTTTTTTTTAATATTGGATCCTATTGTGATTGATTCAAGGGCAATGGTCACTTTTGGCTGCTATTCCATCCAGTGCAAACATAATTTTGGTACAGAAAGTCTTTCATATAAAAGAAAAGGTTTTGGTACTTAAAGCACCCATTTTTGGAGCTGTCTCTGGTCACAATACACTTCTGCACTGTTTAAAAGAAAGTGCAACAACAGTATGCATCAAAACCCCTCATATTATATCACTCTCAGTCATTGCACCCATGTCTTCATAGTAAAAACAAATGTTAGCCATACACCAGTTAGACTTATTATCCTTGATTAAAAACTGTTCTAGAGCTGGCCAATTTTACACTGCTAAGTCACCTGTAGTAAAACACATGCCTGTGCCCTGTGTCTCTAGTACATTTGGGCCTAGTGTACAGATGTACACTTATTTCTGCACTCCTGTGACCCAGATTCACCCAACAGTGGGTCTGTTGTAGGCTGATGTCATAGAGCTTTTTCCAGGCTCTGCAGGGATCCTGACAGTAATGTCAGGATCCACCCAGATGTTTGATCGGCAGCTGGCTCGGCCTCCTAGCATGCCGCTGAGAGCCTGAGTCAGTTGTTCCTGCCACCTCCACAGCCCGACGCTCCAGTGAGTTAGTCACCGCTCTCTTCTTAAATAAGACTTAGAAATGAGCGATCAATGGTCATGTGATGACATGGCATTGGCATTGGTACATGTTCCCCAGGACAGTACCCAGCTTCCAATGCCTTTTTGACAACAGCTTGCCAATTAGCCCTAGAAATGGCCAAAATTTACTAACAGGATTGCCTCTTCCCCCTCACTAGACTAAGTTCTGGTTTGCTAAGTGCTAGGATTTTGCTTATTCTAGAGTGCTGAAAAACACTGCTAGTCCCATCCCCCACAGCCACTTCTTTCCTAAGCTCTGGTGGTCACAGGTACTCTGATGTCATTAAGTACAGTGCAGGGCTCACAGCCTTGCATTGGATGTGAGGATGTTGAAGGACAGTTCACAGCAAGAGCATAGGGGTGTAGAGGAAAGCTCTTGCTGCAGGGGGAATGGAAGATCAGATAAGTACCCTAGACCTAAACAAGCAATTAACAGTTAAAGGTCAGGGGCAGCCCCACTGCAAGAAAGGATTTTTTCCTTTCCCATGAACAAGCTTTATATATACCATTGAAAGTGTTTTTTTAAATACCTTTTTAACAAAATCTATTGATCCTGAAATCATATCAACTGATAACTTGTGCTCTCTGGCCCTGCTTCACTGAAATCTCAAACCCTGCCCGGTTTACTTCTGTGAACTACAGAATGCCTTCCATATGTTAAGGAGATGAGGTAAGGACAGGGGCGGACTCACCATTTGGAAACTCGGGCACTGCCCGAGGGCCCGGGGTCAGTAGGGGAGATGCCCCTGGTAGGCTTTTTTTAGTTTGGGCAAGGACACAGGGGCCCCATGATCCCCTATTGCCCGGGGGCCCCATGAGTTGTCAGTCCACCCCTGGGTAAGGAGGAATGGTTTGGTCCAACATGCCACATACAGCCAAGACTCTGAAAGAGAAATGGTTTGGACTCACATTTTTCACTATAGCCTGATCTCCTAAAGTGAAATTATTTGATCCAACACAATACACTACAGCCAAGACTCTGCAGTAAAAATGGTTTGGACTTGCAATCTTCACTACAGCCTGGACTCTTGGGAAGAAATGATTTGGTTTAACATTCTACACCAAACCCATCTCCTGGGGAGAAATGGCTTTGACCCACAACCCTGGGGTGAAAAAGTTTGGTACAACACTCTACACTACAGTTAAAATTACGACAGAAATGGCAACAGATGATTCAGCTGATATTATGTGAACTAGCCATTAGAAAATACCTTTTGAAAATCTTCCAATGATACAAACCTCTGACGAACACTTCAGTGAAACACTTTTCATCTCCAATCACACACTGATAAGCAGCGTCGTCTGCCAGGGAACAGTTGTTAATGGTCAGGATCCTTTTGTTGCCAATACTCTCAAAGATGTACCTTGACAATGTACAGAAATGCATGTGAGGAATATAATTTACTGACAAAAACGCAGAAAATACAACCTTTGCTGGAATGTTTTACAATGCTCTATTGTAATGTGTGTTCTCCCCCCTACTTTGAATCAGACCTAAACATCCAACTGGTTATACTCACATTACCCATGGAAACCCATTGCACTGTTGATGGACAACAAGTCTGAACCAACTGTATGTACCTTAGAGCTTACAAAGAGTTTCTTTGCGCTTCAAGCAGAAAAATGGAACAGCAGAAGATCAAAGGTAAGTTACACTATATGGCCAAATGATTGTAGAGCCAAACCTTCACACCTATATAAACTTGTTGGACATCCCATACTAAAACCAACGCCCCTTTTTCCACTCTTGTAGTAGGCATTTCATACAGCACCAGAGAAGACATGGCTCACAATTGGCATTCTATTCCATCTCAAAAATTGTTCAACAAGGTTGAGTTCTAGTTGTCTTGAGTTCCTCCCCACCAAACTCATTAAACCACATCTTTGTAGAGATGGCTTTGTGTACAGTGGCATAGTCATATTAGAACAGAAGAGGGTCTTCCCCAAACTATTGCCACAAGGTTGGAAGTGCACAGATTGTCTAAAATGTCTTTATTTCAACATTACCAATACTCTTCAATAGAAACACTTGAACTCGAAAATTTGGAGAGGGATCAACATACTTTAGGCGATATACTGCAGGAATGTGCAGCTGGTGGGCTGGCATTAAAGTAAACTTGTTGCATGACCAGGACACAGGATCACTTTAATCTGTATGTGTGCTAATAAACCAACAATCCTTAGATGCTGAATAATCCTCTTATTTTTTAATTTGGTAATGAAGTAATGACATGTAAATACATTTATAAATGTAATCAGCTATACAGTTATAGGTATCCATTTTTCAAGGTCTTTCCTAACACCAAAAGTGTTATTCATATTTTGAAGTGTATCTAAAACCAGTGTTTTTGTAGTTTTGAATAGAGTAGGTTTTTATTTCTGTCTGCACCAATCTAAGGAAATTCACCATTCTTATTTGTCCTGATGAAGATTGTCATCAAGACAGAAAGTATTGAATAAATCTACAATTTTACAGTTGGTTACCAAACAGGGATAAATAGGAAATAATCCAACAGTGACAGTTGTTCTGGTGACAACTCTCTAGGATGGGATTTGTACTCATATTGTAATGGTTTTTATTAACTCTTGCAAAGGAAGTAAAGGGAAATCTCTCCAAGACATAGACACCAGTAGCACCAGATAACCCATATAGTATGAATAATACATAATATGAACAATTAAATATTGTTGAGTTGATTGGTTTTATTCCTATTATTGACCTGAATTCAGAAGTGTTACTAAACCCAGGACCCTGCGTTCACTACATCTGGTCTCCCACAGTACACACAGAACATGGAACTGCAGTTATTTTAGTAAATATAATCTACTAAATACCTTTTCTCATCAGCAGTTAGAGCAGTCTTGTGACTTCTATCAGTGTCCAGCAGAGCACTGGGTAAAGCTTGTAGAAGGAGTTTTTATTCTTCTCTGATTGTCCTATGAGGCTGCATAACCCCTGACCTCTGTCTGGACAGCTCTGATTGGCCCTGTGTTGATCACATGCACCCTCCCAAGAAAAGAAAAAAACTCTCTAGCAATATACATCAAACTGAGCATGTGCAGCTTGCCCCCCAAGGATCTGCTCTATCAGCGGATGGATTGGGGACAAGAGAAGGAGAGGATCAGAGAAGTCAGGATCAAGCAGTCTTTTTACACAATGCGGAGGATTAACCCCTTATGTTCCACAGTGAGTATAAAAAGGATGCTTTACTGCTTATACAGACAGATTTTATGGTTGTGGGTTTAGTAACACCTTAACAATGAAATCACATATCACACATTAAAAAATAAAGAAAATATATGAACACTTACTTGCTGAAGATTCCATGTTCACACCCCAGGTTCACAAAAGTTCATGATGGCATAGTAGGTAAAAAATCATACATGGAAAGAAGAAAATATGGGAAAACTTGATATAAAAAGCCAAAATGCAGAACAAATATGCAACATAATATATGAAATAAATAGTAATATTTGTATATACAAAATTAATGCAAAACCATGAAAGTATCTGCACAGGTACAAACATTCAAGTCCTATCCACTTTATTTACACACAATATCCACCAGAAGATTATGTTTTGGATATAAAAGTAAAGAGAGGGGTCTGTATACAAGAAAGAGTAGTCAGGACAGAAGACCAGAGATATTCAGCCTTAGGATGATGTCACATGGGAAAATCTGCTACTAGCAACACAACGCCAGCAGCAAAGTCGTATAGGAGAGCCTTCTACTCACCTCCATGGAATCATTCCTTCACTGGCCCCAGTGAGGAAACTCATGTTGACCTGAGAGGGAATGTTTCCATAGAGAGTGGCAAATGGTCTCTTAGCAATCCTGACAATGGCAAGTTACCTTTGGCATCAAGATCACCCATGTGACTTGACACTTAGGGTAAGAGCCCCAAACCAGATGCCAAAAAAGTCACCATATCATTGCTACTATAGGACTAATTATACTGGGTTCTAACAGGAATTATATTTTTTTCTGATATAACCGAATATTGATAAATTGGCATCTTGACAACTGGGGGATGAACAAAACAAAAGAAGAACTGGTTGTGACTAATCTGCTGATTTTGGTAGGTATGATACAAAGCCATGTTACCTGTTAGAAATATTTATAACACATATTCAAAATAGTGTTCTGCTGTGTTGTACTCTGTTATGATATATATATGGTTATGATATATACACGATAGTATGTGTTTTATGTAGGGATGAACAGAGTGATTTCAGCTAATTTGATTTTGCAGAAAAATGGCCATTGGCAAAATTTTGTCATAGAGAATACTCTCATTTTTGCTCATTGAGCTACTTTAGTTTTCCATGTAATTGTGCTTTGCACCCTTCTTTTATGTGTGATTTATTTTTATTTCTGTACTGTCTTTATTAACTTTTTACTTAACTTTTTTCCCCTGTGAAAAAAACCTTAATCATAAGTCTAATTGGGAGACATTTTTGGCACAAGAACGGGCCCAGAATAGTTGAAAATAATTTCTGTAAACCGTAGGAGCCATTTTCAAAAATTTTCAGGGACATAAAAACAATCAAATTCACTCATCCTTAATGTTGAGTTTGAGCTGCCCTCCACTAAATCTGTGGTAGGAAGGGTTGCCACGTTTTGAGTCCTTCGAGTGGTAAAAATGGCTTCCTCTGGTGTTCTTCTTTTCTGCAATGTACCACTTCTCCCTTTTTCTAAAGTTGTGTTGTTATATATTTGAAAAATTTCAATAATAACATTATGGACCAAAAAAAAGAAAATGGCTTCTTCAGAACTTTAACCTAAGGTATCATAAATCAGTATACTGAGAAGCCGGATTGTTCACTTTTCACATTACTATAACCAAGAATCCCTGCATTATCTGCCTCTGGTTTATTGTGCATTGTTAACCCAGACACCATTAAATCCACACCACTTAAAGGAAAAGTAAAAATTCTTTAACTGTTCCTTAACACTTTTAGGTATTGGTACTCTTTACTCACCTTCCAGTAACACGAATCTCTTGGCCATTCTTTAGCCATTTCACTTCTGCATCAGGATTGGCTACTTCCACAACCAGCTTCATCTTTGAACCCTTATCTACTTGGTAGGCTGGATCCAGTTTCTTCAAAAAAGCTAGTGGACCAATGAGAGAGCTTTGGTCAGACAACAAAAAGTCATATTTCTGTGCCATGCCCCCTTACACAACCTCAGCCATGGTGCAGGTGATGGAAATTGTATTTATTTCTTCTCAAGATGAGCTTGTACTAACCCTACTATGAGATATATCAGCCAGAAACTGAAAGACTTTAGTCTGAGAGGCTTTGAAGTTCTAATAAGATCAAAGTTCTCCAACACATTGGCTTGTTTTACATGGAGGATATGGTAATGTGAATGAATTTCCTGGACCCTTTAAACAAAACACCCATTCTAACATGGTGATGGAAGATGATGTTGTCAGGTTACGTGTAAAACTATACTTTCCTTGGCTGCCTTGGGGTGATTATCCAGACTTGTGAAGTCCATCCGGCTATCCCATCCTGTCATTGCACTTGCTGCTGCAGCCTTTCTGGATAATATGTTGACTTGACTGATGTCAATAGAAACTTTCAACTGGGGGGTGGAGCCATGCCGGATATGTACAAATTGGTTGCACATATTATTTGACACACAAAGACGTCAAAAGAGGGGAGGACAGGGAACATGTTGACCTGAGAAGCAAACACAATCAACTGGTCCTTTCATAGCAGGGACAGCTGATTAAGGACAAAGTGTTTTGTGGTGCCACAGTAATTGGTGGCCTTAGTAAAAGGTAGGTGTTGTCTTAGACAACATGGTTTATTGTGACACATTTTACATATATATAATAAAAATGGATTGTAAGAGATTAAAAAATAGCATGTCAGCAGCACAAATAATTTTTAGCATTCAGCTTACTTTTAAATTAGCACAAGCAATTTCACAGTTTTGCATTCTCCCAGAATTGAATTCCTTTGCAGCTCTCTGCATTCGGTGAAATAACATCTCAGAGCTGCAAAGAAAGTCGATGCTGGTCGCAGGTCTGAACTTAAAGCAGTTAGATTGATAATGACTGGCAGCTGTCACTAACTGCAGGTCCTGCTCTAACTATGGTCTAAATGGGTGAGTATTTTCACTCAGGGGCACCTGCTCAACATATATTATTTGTAGTGACTCCAGGGCCGAATGCCACCTAGCCCAGACCTTCCCTGCCTCTGGAACCAAACACAGCTTAGGCGGGGGATCTTTCATTTTCACCTCACCCTCGCTTTTCTTTTCCTCCTTCTTCATCTTCTTCAGACGTTTCAGCAGTCCACGCAGATCAGTGATACCATACTGGAAGGCTATCTTCTCGTATTCGGATGGTGGGGCATTACGAAGGATCTCCCATACATCCACGTCCAGTACGATATCTTGCTTTGCCTCATTACTGCCAAAAATCACTGTGTTAGTAAGCAGCTTTGATGCCCTCCAGCCTGTAGCACAGACTTGAGGATGAAGGCCCCAAAGCACTTGGCTACTAGTCTGACTTAAAGCTTTCAAGGCTTCTCACATAATGCAAAATGTGCTGCATCCCTGTACTAGGATAAGTAATAACAGTTCTTGATTAATAACATACCACAGATATACCAACCCCTCAGCTACCAAGGTTAATTAATTACATAGAAATAGAGATGTAATTTAGTTAGTAATAGTAGTGAGATCCCACAAATAGAAACTGGTTGTTATAATATATCAAGCTTTGGCTGGTGCTCAGAGCAGAATTGATACTGTGCCTCTGTATACATTACATAGTAAAACGTAACCAGAACATGTGTGTGTGTTTACGGGGGTATTAAATCTCACAGTCCTTCATGTCGCCATGAACAGTAAATCCTTTTTTATATAGAGAGGTTTAAACCTTTCAATCAAGGGCTCTCTTAAAAATCTTACTCTATAAATACCTACTTCTACGCCTTCTATTTTCAAGGATGTATATTAACTTATATTTATGGTTAACAAATAACTTAATACATTAAAATATATTAAAGCCCTTGCCACCTATTGGAGCAGCTGGTTAGTCCACTGGGAATCAGATTCTTTCAAGGCCTTGATGGGACGCTAATCAATAAGCTCTTTCTCCAATATACTGGAAGGGCCTTCCTCACCTGTCCCCTCCCCCCTCCCCCCTTTATTGATGGTCCAACTATTGTGGCTTCTGTTAAAAGTATGTGACCCTATAACTGAATAATTACAGTACATTAGGGCTTGACCATTATATTTTTGCACTCCTCTTTCCCTTCGTCCTCCTATCTAATTTCTTCCCTCTTCCCCCATCCTCCCCATTCCCTCTTTGCTCGAATTGTCACTTGTGGCCACTGTATTGTTTAATGTTTTGTAACTGTAATAATTAAAACTGGATAAAGACTAGACATGTGCAATTCATTTAGTTTTGATTCATTTTACCACTGAAAATTTAATTTTCATAAGTTCAGATGTATCCAAATCTCCAAACAGGCACAGAAACAAATGGCAACGAATCTAAAAAAAATTATAACGAAATTGACGAATGCATTTGTTTCATTCAGATGACATCACATGATGCGATAGTAGTTGGGGTCCATGGGGAAATTAATTACATTTTCGAATTTGTTCGATAATTTTAATTCAGGTAACAGATGGATCTGAATTTTGTTCAATTTGTTAATTCAAATGCACTTAGTGTCAGTCAATATTCTCCAATCAGCTCATGCCATTTCTCTTGGTGGGTTGCACTAGCATCTAAAAATATTGAATCTGTCCAATTTGATAATATGTCAAATATAAAGCAATCTTCTGACACTTTTTTGAATCCACCCAAACCAATGAATATATGAAAGTAATGCCATAGATACAAAACGAATTCTGAAAACGAATCAGGTCCCCATAACAGATATGACAAAACGAAATTCTTCAATTAACGAATGCATCTGTAATGAAACAGAAACTTCTGGCGTGCACATGTCTAAAAAAAGACATATTTGAGCCAAAAATGCATAAAAGCCCAAATAATCCAGCAAATTATATTTAAGGTTCATCAAAAAGGTGTGCAAAGTCTAACAGTGCATCTGCTTTAAAAAAACAACCACAACCACAACCTGAATAGAAAGGCCTGTCCCCTGTCAGCATGCTGTAGAGAAAGGCTTTCTGTATGGAAAAAGTGGTCTCTCTGCAGAGATCCAACATGCCCTCTACCAAGTCAGAGGTAAAGATCTGCAAACAACAAAACACTTTTCCTGCTGGTTGAGGAGCTCTGGCTCTGAATCAGTAGGGGGAGAGGCAGACCTCTTCAGAGAGACAACTGTTCCGACACAGAAAGTAATAGTCCTCTGCTGCATGTTGGCAGAGCACAGGCTTTTTTTACTTAGACTATTGTCGCTTTCTAAAATACTTTAACTGTAAGACTTTGAACACCTTTTGTTTTGGCATACCTGGAAAGTATTTACCCGAGAATCTGGTTGGGCTTTAAAGAAAACAAAAATTTGTGGTGCATTGACATTTAAATCCTAAATGAGTGGTGAATGTTAATTATCATAACCCATCTAACCCTTAGGTGTTGCTAATAAAGGGTTTTTAGCCCTGAAAGCTCACTGTTGAGAAACACTGCACCAGGTTCCAGGCCTACTGTATTGGTAAGCATCCCCCATGAAATAAACATTTTGGATATTTGTAAGGTGCTACAGTTGCTGTTTAAGTATCTTTGTTTTGTGTGGTTTGTGACACAAGAGTTTTGTGGTTGGTTATCATGAGTTTCACCACGCCAGCTCTAGTTTTTTACAAAATATGTCTAAACGTACTCAATCTCTTTCAGTTTTTCTTCTCTTTTGTTTACCCTTGATAAGTCAGTTTAAAGAGGACCAATCACTTTGCCCATTCAGGGTAGGACAAATGACAGGTTCTCTTGGCAGGTCATAGCCCCAACCACTGAAACTCATCCTAGTGTGCTCCCCCGCTGCACCATGTATCTGCCTGAGCCCTTGGAAATGTCTGATTCCTTGAAAATGTAACTTGTTCCCCTTCCTTCTAAGATGCAGTTCTTAGCCAATAGCCTGGTCCAAGCAGTCAGATTTTTTTTTTACCAACTGTGTCCCATTGCGGAGGTTTCTCTTCATGTCCTGTCCAATAGCCAAATAGGAAATGAGAGGAAATCTCTGGGAATTAAGGGAATTCCTTGGGGACCCCCAAGTCACCAGCACTAGTGTCCCCATTGGCAGATTTCCCCTCTATCTCTTTTCTGGGGACAACCCAAAATTTGGGATTTTCTTTTACTTTTGCTTTCAATGATAATGGCAAACAGGACAAACAGAGGGTGAATCTCCTTAACGGGGCACAGGCAGCAATTAAAACTGACAGGGGTTCTTCTAATCAATCTCCACTCTATCCAAAACTAAAAAAAAGTTTTGCCTTTAGTTATACTTTAGGAACCACCTTATAAACAGAAGATAGATTCCACATATGTTTCAAATTAAACTTTCTTTTTACCACTTGATTTTACCTAACAGCAGGGTGTCCCCGTTTTTGTGCATGTCTATTTCCTATGTGTGGGGAACTGGAGAATATAACACAGGTACATGGTAGAATACCTATTTGAAGAACTGTAATTACAAACCATTTTATGGCCTCATGGGAAGACCATTATATATTATGGGTCTTACCGATTTACAGAACGCAGGAAACTGCTGGACTTGCAAAGAAGTATTCAGAAAAAGCATGCATCGGAAGACAGCGCCCAAATCCCCGAGGGCAAAAGAGAGCAAGACAAGTCAGTGCAAAGCAATCACATTCACTTGCTGAAACCAGGCCAAGAGGTAGACACAAACGCAAACACAACTTCTCAGACATGCACTAAGCAAAGGCAAAGAATGATGTCATCGCATGCAAAGAGAAAATTCGGCAGTCAAAAAAAAAATTGCAATCCAAAGATTGGTGCAATGCAGAGACGTATGCAAGTGATACTAGACAAGCCACTGTAACTTCTACCACTCTAAAATAATAATTCAAGACATCAGCAACCCTGTAGCTGTGACAGCATTCTAAGAGTCTGTGTGGCTAATAGGCATGGCAAAACTGTTTGGCATCTCTAGCTGTGGACAACTTTGAAGATAGTGACCACAAAATGCAGACAATGACGTATGCCTAAAATGGTAATGTGGCACCCTGACGCCTGGACAGGTCTAAGTGCTGCTTAACTACATATCTCTGGTCAGTCCAAGTACCAGCATCCTCGACATTCCATCCATATTTGCATATGAGTATTAATTAAACCTGGTGGAGCATTGATATTTGTATGAACAGTAACTGTTTTTGTGCACTGAGATAACAGGAAGTGAGAGTATCTTCTTGGACAGTTTTCAAGGGATGAGGTGTTTCTATTGCAAGATTTCCCATAACTTCCTGTTGAGATGACAACTAAACAGCCAACAGGAGCTCAAAGAAGTCTACTTGTCCTCTCACACATACCAGCCATTCTGGCCTACATCGAAGTAAACAGTCTAGGCATGTATGAGCCTTTTCAATTAGGCTGGGCCTGAAAGCTTGCCCATTTGGTTCTCGAAGTTGGGTAAATGGATTTTTCTAAAGTATCAAGTTGACACAGAAAATTAATATTTTTCTGTATTTATTTATATATTTTTTTTTTAGAAAATATAACCATAACCACAATTCACTTCACATTGTGCTGTGCTAAAATGCACAGAGATTGTGGCATCCAATTTAAAGTGATGCTACAGTTCCATTCATTTGTGGCCTTCCCATACTCAGAAAAACACTGATCCTCAAAGGCAACAGCAAATCCCTCACAAGGGAATCCACTATGTGTTATTTATGTGTGTGAATCCTCAAAGCTGACCTGGGCTCAAACAACCTTATACTTCAAACAGTGTGAGACAAGTCATCTGAGAATGATGTAGAACTTATTCATTACACAGCTGTTCCTTAGCCCACATATACTTTGTCATCCATTTTTCTGCTGAGGTGCATAGAGGCCAACTGTAGAAGTGGAGGAACAAGATATGACAGTGCAGCTCTTTTTGTCCCTAGACTTTACTCCTTGCTCACTTTAATCAGGGTGGGCATCGGGACTGGGCAGGATATGTCCTGTGAGGCCTGAAGAATGAAGGTTTCCTTTGTATTTTCATATGTGCAAAAAACTTCTTAAAGGGGTTGATTGCAAAAGTTATGTGTTTTTACTTATTGCTTTGTCATAATAAACTGAAATGAATTCCAAAATTTTGGAGTCAAACCTTGGATTTTAAGAATAGGTTTGCTCTAAG